GTTTTCTGAGAACATGAGTCAAATCCATCATTTCTCTGTGCCAAATACGCTTCCAAGGATGCTTCACATCCTTTGGAATGTGTTTGGAGATTGTTTCATTGGGTTTCTGATGTGAATTGTATTGATTTATTGGCCAATTACAGCCAAGCTGTGTCGAGACTCACAAGTTTTCATTATTATCTTTTCAGCCTTCTGTAAACATCCTGTCCGTATTCTTTACTATACAGTTTAGTATTCTTTAATATTGTTTAATATAATATAATGTAATGTAATGTAATGTAATATAATATAATAATAAATTAGCCATCTGAGAACATGGAGTCAGATTGATCATTCCTTCCTTCATCGAGGCACTACACAAACACAGAGACTCCTGAGAATTCTTTAATATAATATTGTATTATTATTAGTAGTATTAGTATTAGTATTAAAATTATTATTAATAATAGTATAAATAATAAATTAGCCTTCTGAGAAGATGGAGTCAGATTCCTCATTCCTCCCAGCATCGAGGCACCCCACAAATGCAATAACTCCCCGCTGTTCCCAGGGCTCCTGCCCCATAAAACCACAGCCCTGTTGCTGCCACAGCACTGCTGGGGATCCCAAATTTGGGAAATCCTTCCCAGGGCTCCTGCCCCATAAAACCACAGCCCTGTTGCTGCCACAGCACTGCTGGGGATCCCAAATTTGGGAAATCCTGCCCTTGGGATGGAGCCCAAATCCCCCACGCCACGAGCAGCAGGGTCTCCCTCCTGGGGCTGCTTTTATGTGCACAGCTTATCAATGACACAAACAGAGGTGCTGGGACAGCCAAAAATTCCTTGCTGAGCCTTTGGGGGGAAGTTTGGCTATTTTTAATCTTCCTTTTTATTTTTTTTTTTTTTTAATTTTTTTTTCTCTTTGTGAAAGAACCATTTGTGCCAAGGCAAACACATCCATCCCCCCCAGCCTCACAACCCCGGCCCCTCCTGGGCTCATTCTTCGTGTTCCCGACATAAACATGCCAAAAGGCTCCGTTTCCTGCAATTGAAGAGCCCAGCCCAGGGCTGCTGGGACAGGAATCAAGATTGTTTAGATCCTGCCCTTGATGGGGAAGCTCAGTCACGCAAGGACGTGGCTGACCCAGGGCAGGCCCCAGCCCTGCTCAAATCGGGCTTTTCCTCCCCAAAATAACTCACTGGGTTGTGGCTCGAGGGGAGGCAACAGCGAGAAGATCAGTGAGCAGATCCTGGGTCCTGGGGATGGAGGGCAGGGCCTTGGTGGAGGAGTGATGCCAGGCTGATCCATCCTTGGCTGGGCCAGGCTCAGCTTTGTTTTAAAATCCCAACCCCTCTGGAGCTGGGCTAGGATTGGGTTTATTTTAAATTCCTAACTGCCCCAAGAACTGGGCTAGGATCAGTTTTATTTTAAAATCCCACATTCCTCAAAGCTGGGCTAGGATCAGCTTTGTTTTAAAACTCAATCCCTCCGGAGCTGGGCTAGAATCTGCTTTATTTTAAAATCCCAACTCTCCCAGAGCTGGGCTAGATCAGCTTTATCTTAAAATCTCACATTCCTCAGAGTTGGGCTAAGATCTGCTTTATTTTAAAATCCCAACTCTCCCAAAGCTGGGCTAGATCAGCTTTATCTAAAAATTTTAAGTTCCCCAGAGCTGGGCTAAGATCAGCATTATTGTAAAACTCAGTCCCTCTGGAGCTGGGCTAGATCAGTTTTATTTTAAAATCTCACATTACTCAGAGTTGGACTAAGATCTGCTTTATTTTAAAATCCCAACTCCCCCAGAGCTGGGTTAGGATCAGCTTTATTTTAAAATCCCAACTCCCCCAGAGTTGGACAAAGATCTGCTTGATTCTAAAACTCAATCCCTCTGGAGCTGGGCTAGATCAGTTTTATTTTAAAATCTCACATTCCTCAGAGTTGGACTAAGATCTGCTTTATTTTAAAATCCCAACTCCCCCAGAGTTGGGCAAAGATCTGCTTGATTCTAAAACTCAATCCCTCTGGAGCTGGGCTAGGATCAGCTTTATTTTAAATTCCCAACTCCCCCAGAGCTGGGTTAGGATCAGCTTTATTTTAAAATCTTAACTCCTTCAGAGCTGGGCTAGGATCAGCTTTGTTTTAAAATCTCAGCTCCCCAGGAGCTGGGTTAGGATCAGTTTTATTTTAAAACTCAACCCCTCTGGAGCTGGGTTAGGATCAGCTTTATTTTAAAATCCCAACTTCCTCAGAGTTGGGCTAAGATCTGCTTTATTTTAAAACTCAATCCCTTGAGTTTTAGTTTTAGCTGGGCTAGGATCAGCTTTATTTTAAAACTCAGCCCCTCCGATTCCTCACCCCCAGCCCCACATTTCTTGCAGCCCCGAGAGCTGCAGGATGTGTGATTTAAAAGGGAAGCTGAGCCTCCCAGGTGGTGAATTCCCTCCCTGGAGCCACTTCCCCAAAATCCTGAAGCATGAGACAGCTGCAGGATATTTGCCATGGAACACAAAGCAGCCAGGGCCTCACCCAAACTCTTCTGTGCACCAAACATCCCATGGATTGTTGTTGTTATTGAGAGCAAAAACTTAATCCAGAGTGGCATCCCACAGGAAAAACAGCCCAGGAAAGGCACAAATCAATCCTGGTATTCCCATCCCTGTCCTTTCCTTCCTCTTTTCTCATCAGGAGCTGCAGCTCATGGGCATCCAGAGCATCTTACCCTGCCTGCCTGGGGGCTGGTTTATGTTCTCTGGGATTTGTAGCATCAGGAGAAGGGAAAAAAAAAACAGGAAAAAAATCTGGGATGGGACAGGGGTGCTGGAAGGGAGCTGTGAGGCAGCTCCAGGGTCTGGAGCAA